TCACTAAGACATGATTATGTGTAGGCCATTGTCAGGTATATATAGACTCATTTATCATCTAAAACACCCGCCAATTCTTGTATCTTCTCTTAGATCTTCTAATTATATCCTGGGCTTACCTTAGGATATTTTACACGAATGTAAAGAACGTCTCAGCTTGCTATATACATCTGGAGTTGTTAGTTTGTAATCAACAAGCAAAGCCTCTCTCTGGTGTGTGTCAGTTGTTAGCAATATGTTTCGCATTGGACTGTAGCCATAGAGTGGTCTCTCTGAGGATTCTTTTTCTTCTTTTTTTTTGTGGGTTTGCCAGAGTGCATAGGGGGGAAGTAGTTGAAGCAAAGCAACACAAAGAATAGCTGTTGTCTGAGGGAGATAAGGGGTGGGTGGGCAAACAGATGCTTTTTGTGCCCCCACCGATATGTGCAGTATAGGCTCAGGAAATGTCTAGGATTCACACAAGACGTCCTCTACCTTACCTTCAGCACAACGTGCAAATGTGCGAAGAATAAAGTCTCCTTTGATGCCACCGAGGGTGTATATACCACCAGTTTTATTTTGACTCCCATTCTACTGATAGACTTCTTTGTCTTCGAATCACACGCAGGAATAAAAATCCTGTAGGTTTCCACTAAAATTAGTCCTGGCATAACACTTGATGTTACTGATGTACAAAGTTTCTTTTTCATTGTGTTCGTTAGAAAATGAAGCACATGTGTGAGGAACAATAAAACTTATGATTGACACATCTTGTTCAGACAGAATTTAATGTGCCGAGCCATGCAAATTCGATAGTTCGGTGATCAGTCTCTTGTAGAAATTATTTTCAAGAAATTCATCATATTGTAAATTTTCTCTATTAATCCAGGAAAAACACATTTTTCTCGGAATATATGTTTGAATCATACACTTTATACATATGTGTGTACATATAGGTAAGTTATAAAAAAATAGGCTTAGAAGACCCAAAATTTAGATTAGCAGATTTAAAAAAATATATTTTTGGAATATTTTTCATACGTATCTATAATTTGTGTATATTTAAGAAGTGGTTCCTGATGTTCTGGTCATACTCACACAAATACATTTTATTTTCTGAATATACATTTGTTTCTTGTACATTTTTTTAACATACGTGGCTGTATAATATTCCTGTGTGATCTTTCCTACTGTATTCATGTGCTCAGTTAACATTCTAGAAAAATAGAATTCGACCGCATAGAATAGTATCCTACAATAAAAGCACATCTAACAGTCTGATAATGCACATTGTTTAATAGTACCCCACAAGAAAAACATATCTGACAATCTGATATTGGGAAGTACTTTAAGAGCATCCTACAAAAAAAAATCTGAAAGTCTGACGATATTACGAAATAGCACATTTAATAGTACCCCACAGTGGAAACATTTGACAGTCTGATATTATAAAATAGTTTATTTAATTGTATCCTACAAGAAAAACAAATAAGGCAGTCTGATATTATGTAATAGTTTGTTTAGTAATATCCTACAAAAAAAAAGATGAAAAGTTTTCATGTAACGAGATACTCAAACAATGATGAAGCTCCAGGCTTTTATGAGACACCTTATCAGTATTCCAGATGGAGCGTTATTTTGGCAATGTAACCACTTTGATTTCACTTCAGGGGAAGTGTCTCTCTGGTTGACGATGTAAATATTGTGATTTAAGGATTAAACTTCAAGGGAAGTGTCTCTCTGGTTGACGACGTAACTACTTTGTTTCACTTCTGGGAAGCTTTCGTTTCACTTAGAAAAGAAAATACTGTAGCTTCACGCTTGAAAGTTGTTATTATCCGTATATACAGAGGAAATAATATCTGGATTTATCTTATAAGAAGCTGCATCTCTCTACCAATAAGACTTTAGAATGTAATATCTTCATGTAGAGATCATCATAATTCTATTCTCATTTAGCCTATTGGGAAAAATATTTGTCTTTTTATAACCAGAAAGACATTTCCTTTTAAATGAAATCACAATAGTTACACCTTCAACCAGAGAGATACTCCCCCTGAGGTGAAATCACAACAACCATCTTCTTTTAGAATTGAAATTGTGATAATTATTTCTCTTAGTCAAACGAAACAACTTCTCAGAATTGGGTTGTTTGTTTCTGATATTTGTTCCAAGCTACACAAGCCGATAGACTATAGCAATGGCAGCTAGTGAACAGCACCCACCGCCAATTCTTAGGCTACTCTAATCGAATAGTAAGATTTCACCGTCATTCTTACCACGCATTCATGGCCCCAAAGAGTAAAGCGCGATCTTGCGACATTGGGACGCAAATCATGGATCCGCAGATCACAGTCCAGCACACTAGCTAGTAGGTCACACCGGACAGGCCTTTCTTGAAATTGAAATGGAATCATAAGAGCTTTCTTCCAAATGAAAGACAATTTCACAGAAGTGAAATCATATTTATCTGTCTAGTTAACACTATCTCCCTAAATAACATCCTGACATTTATTTGTATAGATCAAAACACAACTTCCCTTAAGTATCATTGATTGTGGTAATTTCCCATAATTAAATTAATAGAAGTCATGATCATGAATAGAGATACTCACACCCAGGGAAGGAATTATAGGAGTCGCCTTTTACAGTTGTCGTAGGCTGATCTGGAGGTTAACTTACGGTTGGTAAGCTTTGTTGGAAGCGTGTGTGTAATCTTTCTAAATTGAGCTCATGATTACAATCTTTGCGGGCAGAGAATAAGTACATCAGGTGGCGAAGTAGTGGTAGTCATTCTTTCAATTAGAGAAACAAAAACGCAAGGTGCAGACGTTTTTGGTTACATTCGTGGCAGTGACGTTATGATGGTCAGCATTCTAGGCGTAAACACACAGTTTTAAGACGGAATGATTTTCTTTTCTTGTACAGAAATACCAGAGAGAATTGATGCTTTAAGTGACGATTTTCATTCTGCGGTAACTCGGTGGTAATACGCTAACCTGATAAAGATATCTTGCGTTTGAATTTCTCAGGTTTTTCCTTTTCATGAATTAAAAACACTTTCATGTATTTGATTGATTTAGTCACTATCTATTGAATAAATAAACGATTCGCTTCACAATGTTAGAATCATTTTTGTTTAGTTTCATTGAGCAGTTTTTGTTGTTGTTTTATTGTTACTTCCAGTTTGAAACATTCAAACACGGCACGTGAAGACAACTTATAAATACTTAGAATTTTTTATGTTTTCACTAAAGGACAAAAAAAAACTTTAAAAATGATTATTATAAGAAAGTATAATTATCAAATACGACACATCCGGTCGTTTTAAGAGTTATTGTGTATTTGAACCCAAGGGCATTATTATTTAGTGTCTCTGTACTATTAACTGGCTTGTGTATTTGAACCCAAGGGCATTATTATTTAGTGTCTCTGTACTATTAACTGGCTTGTGTATTTGAACCCAAGGGCATTATTATTTAGTGTCTCTGTACTATTAACTGGCTTGTGTTTTGTTGTTTTTTCGTCATCAATTAACTATATGCTTAGGATTTAGAGGTATCCTTTCAAGATCACAATTTAATTTATTTCTTCGTAATAGCTTCACAATAATTATTATTTTTTACTTGAATTACTCGTATTAATTTTTATTGCGTCAACATTAGTGAACAAATTTTGCGGTATCTGGTCAAATGAGTCCATACATACTTCCAGTTCTTGCGTCATTGTTAGTAGTGCTGAGTTAAATACAATATTCGTTTATTGAGACAACTGCACTGAACGTTGACAGATTTTGTAATATAGATTAAATATATATTTTCGTACCTTCATTTCTTGAGTCACCACTACTTAGCGTTGACAGATTTTGCAATATAGATTATTAAATACATATTTTCGTTCATACATTTCTTGATTCACCACTACTGAACGTTGAAAGATTTTGTAATATCGATTAAATGCATAATTTCAAAGTTTCAGCTCTTGAGTCACTCTTACTGAACGTTGACAGACTTTGTAATCTAAAATATAATAGATGCATACTTTCATACTCTCAGCTGTTGAGTCACCGCTACACTGAACATTTAAAGATTTTGTTACATCCGATGTAATAGAAATGTATCGCTAAGAAACACCTTGAATAACTCCAAAAAACTAAAAATGCTAGGCCTTTTTTTTTCATTTCAAATGATATAACATCAAAACACTAACGGGGGGGGGGGGGTTCTAAGCGTTGTTTTGCTATGATGATAAATTGACATTTTTAAGAGATTAAAGGAAATGATTGTTAGAATGCATTGTTTTACCTTCCATGTTCATAGCGCGAACTATAACACTCGTTATGAAACTAGCAAACTTCTTTAAATGAGAAACTCAATCTCATAAGTACTCTGTAGACTTTATGTAGATAAATAAAGTAGTTGTTGTTATGAATTAAATTAGATCTTATCCATGTTTTCATGCATATATTGTGATCTTATCCATGTCTTCATGCAGATATTATGATCTTATCAATGTCTTCATGCAGGTATTATGATATTATAAATGTCTTCATGCAGGTATTATGATCTTATAAATGTCTTCATGTAGGTATTATGATACTATCAATGTCTTCATGTAGGTATTATGATACTATCAATGTCTTCATGCAGGTATTGTGATCTCATGAATATCTTCATGCAAGTATTATCATTTTATCAACGTCTTCATGCAGGTATTACGATCTTATCAATGTCTTCATACAGGTATTATGATTTTATCAATGTCTTCATGTAAGTATTATGATACTATCAATGTCTTCATGCAGGTATTATGATCTCATAAATATCTTCATGCAGGTATTATGATACTATCAATGTCTTCATGCAGGTATTATGATACTATCAATGTCTTCATGCAGGTATTCTGATCTCATAAATGTCTTCATACAGGTATTATGATTTTATCAATGTCTTCATGCAGGTATTATGATTTTATCAATGTCTTCATGCAGGTATTATGATCTTATCAATGTCTTCATGCAGGTATTATGAGACAGGGTCTATAAGACCAGGGGTCATCGGCGGCAGTAAACCTAAAGTGGCGACTCCAAAGGTGGTTGAGGCAATATCTACCTATAAGAAACAGAATCCCACCATGTTTGCCTGGGAGATTCGAGACCGCCTTTTAGCGGATGGTGTTTGTGATCAGGATAACATCCCCAGCGTTAGTTCTATTAATAGGTAAGAATCTTAGATAGAAATATAAACTTCAATCTTATGTTGGCTGAGAATCCTACTGAGTAACTAAACAGGTTTTTAGTAGGAAACATTTGTTTTATCGACATAAAAAGCTAACGTTTTGACCCATAGTAGCGGGTCATCGACAGGCTATCGCTATAGTCAAACTTGCCATGACTTGATGAAACATAGTTGAATGAACAACAACTGCCTGTTGTAGAAACACCAATGTAGAGGACAATGTTTCGAAAGTCTTCTGCCTTTCGTCTTCAGGTTAATTTATGTATGGTGTTGTCGGTCCACCAGAACACTATAAAGACC